AACATTGTAATTTTCATATTCTGAATGTTCGGAAACCTTTATTTCTGGTGGACTTCAAATATGATTGTTGTATTTTTTGGATTCGTATGTTAATATAGTTTTTGATGTTTATGGCTCGCCGGATCCGCTTATTTCTCGATTTCGTGTCACCTATAGCATGGTTTTAAACCTGTTCCATGCACAGCCGCTAGAGCCAGAACAGATGTTGCAGAGAAGTTACGTCGAGAACGATCCCTATCGCTACCGTTTGCGAAAACTTGACGTTATTCGGTCATTGGTCAAGAAGCTGAACAACTTGAAGTTGAAGTTTTCGTGCGAAGCATGTACAAACGAGCAGCTGCACGAGTTTTACGAAATCGCTTCCTCCCTGGCCGAAATGTCAAAAATGGCCTGTAAAGATGGCATCGACGCCTTCTCTCGTAGTAGACGGTCAGGTACTTAATATTATGACTGATCGAATAATTTTTGCAACGTGACTCCTACTCGTATTTCAGGGAACGGCGTCGTTGTGGTGCTTAGTAAAGATCGCTACATGTACCGAGTCGGTCTTCTTCTGGACATGATCCAGGGTGTTTCCCACGACTCGCCTTTAGTGCTGAAGGTTGCGGTTCCGAACGTGCCAGAGCGGACTTTTTCGCGGTTGCCCAAACAGCCAGATTTTGAAAGGATCATCGCCGCTTCTATCGGCTTTAAAATTGAAGAGCTTTGCGACACGAAATCGACTTTAGGATATACAGTGATCGAGGCGCAGGAATCCGAAATGCTGTTCATCGGCTTGTTACCGGGAAAAGTAGACATCCAGAGCATCTCCGAAGACTGGAAAGTTTGCCAGTATAAGAGGTGCGGTACCCGGAAAATTTCCTATGAGCGATGTCTGTGTTGCATGCGATTCATGCGGTACAAGTATAGCGGATCAGTGTTATCCCATCTGTATTTGCGTTGCTGCCGGACAATGCCAAGGAAGGTTATGTCTGAATGTTCGACATTCTGAAGCACATAACTTAAAAGATACTTAGCGCTATTATCAACATAGACTGATTTCGAACGCGTAGTTTAATATAGTTCAAAAGAGTTTTCCCTCTTGGCGGATGTTTTCTTTTCCAACAGCTTAACTACGCAATCGTTCAAGCGAAGGTCTTTGGCAAAGATTTTTAACTTATGTATAATTAGCGTTGAAAGGGTAAGTGCTCGCCGCACTGTCCTGTGTGACAGCTTAACACATACAACGAATTTAAGGTTGCTTTGGATAAACACAATACTCTTTTTGCCTAAAAATAGATACCGATCTTATCGGTTTACTAGCGTACCAACAGTTATTAGTTTTCGATGCCATCATTAAGAAAAATAATGTTTTTCTTTCACTCCAGATTTATACGGCGTATAGACACCGTCTCCTTGCTTCTAGCGTCCTAAGAGCCCATTTTAACAGGCCCGGTTCTACAGCATTTGAGCACCCGCAGTGAATGGGTAC